GCGGCCAGTGACATTTTATTCCTCTAGTGCCTCCAGAAAGAACACAGCCCTACTGACACCTTGATTTTGGCCTGGTGAGACCAACTTTGGACTCTTCACTTCCAAAACTGTAAGTAATACATTTGTGTTGTTTTAAGCCAACAGCAGAGCTGTCGTTTCAGCTTGTAGTCATCGCTACAGCAGGACTAGGAGCTGGTACGCACTGCCGGGACTCACTCCTGCTCTGGCACTTGGGTGGCACTGTAGGCGCCCATGTTCGTGGAGGTAGTCAGCAAAGGGGGCTCTCTCGGCTGGGCTGGCCATGTCTGCTTACAGAGTGCTCCCCTCTTCCACTGCGGTAAGAACATTTGTTCTTATTAGGTCAGCAAAAAAAATAGTGTGTGGTTCTCCCAGACAATTATCTTTTATCTTCCCTCTTTTCTTCTGTTGTTTATTCTTTTGACCTTGTTTGAGTAATGGCATCTTTTAAAATGATGTAGCAGATGAGATTATTCACTTCAAGTGAGTCTGTGTCCTGAAATACATTTTGTTAACTGAAAGTATAATACATAATGAAGCTTGTTCTGCTACTCAGAAAAGATTCATGTATTCCTGTTTTAAGTAACAGGGATTCTCTCTTTTGAACAGGGCTTTTACTACTCTGAAGATTCCATAAATCTGGCAGTTATTTCTAGTTTTCTTGGGTATTTCTCAACACAAACTCAGTCCAGTCCTTGAAGCAGTCAATGTGAAGCATGTAATTAGTACGAATGTGGACTAATATATTAATCTATTCAGATAATCAAACGTCAGTGATTGATACGACAGCTGCACAATCTCTTATCGAAAGCCGTGGTACCAGATTTGCTTTAGATTCAGATTCATTTCATATACAAGAAAGGTCATACTGTGTATACACCAGATATTAGTGACTAGGTGGTAATCACGTTACTATTTTTGCAATAAAACATATGAATATTCACATTAAGCAGAGTAACTAAAAAATTCAAATAGCCCCAAAGTCAGTACATTCAGGTTTTGCTGCTAAATAAATTTGTGTCTGCTTGGGGTTCGCCATTTTAATAACTTTGCTTTTAGAATTAAAAATTGCAGATAAGCAACTGTGGATCTTTAATAATAGAAAACATTAGCATAGACAATGGGTAAACCCAGACCAAAAAAAAAAAAAAAAGCCATAAAAAGATAGAAGAAGAGCATCCAAGAAATACATAAGGCTGCAGAATGAATTTTTAATGTGTCCTTAACATAAAAGCAGAAGCAACACTATCCCTAGGAGAGAGCTGGAAATGCATTCTGTTCTCCTGGTACAGGAAGGTTAATACAATGACCCTGAGGGCAGGGGAGGTAGCTGTGGTCAGGAAAAGATAATAATAATAAAGATAATAATGTGCTAGGAAAGATAATAACCTTATAAAAACATAATTTTCATTAATCAAGGGTATTAATATTTTAGGTATCAAAAATAAATCTTAAGTTATTTTAATATCATCCATTCATATCTAAAATTAATGCCTTGGTAAAGGCCAGAAACTCTAATAAGAGATGTAATTTATTGTTAAGGCAGCAATGATAAGACTGGAGGACAGCCAATATCAGCCCATCTTTTTAAAAAAATGATAAATATGAGACAATCAATTAGTGAACTTTATTTCTAGAAAAGTAGCTTTGATAGGAAAAATACTAGACAGAAGGAACATGCCTAGTGAAGAATACGATAATTGACTCAGCTCACATTTCCCAAGAGTGTATTACTAACCTCTACCATAATTATTTGCTTATTTACTAAAAGAATGAATGAATGAATGAATGAATAAACAAATGGAGAATATGTCCCTGAGGTGCTGATGTAGCAGTTCAAGAAACACAAATCAAGATGGTTATCAGTGGCAGGGAAGGGGCGTGGGGGCTGGGGAGGAGGTGGGGATAGTTATTGGGTACAAAAAAATAGTAAGAATGAATAAGACCTAGTATTTGATAGCACAAGGTGACTATAGTCAATAATAATTTAACTGTACATTTAAAAATAACTAAAAGTATATAATTGGATTGTCTGTAACACAAAGGATAAATACTTGAGGGGACGGATCTCTCATTTTATATGATGTGATTATTACGCACTGCATGCCTGTATCAAAGTACCTCATGAATCCCATAAACGTATACACCTACTATGCACCCACGAAAAGTAAAATAAAAGTTTTTTTAAAAAAGAAACTCAAATATCTACATAGGTATTTTATAATCCAAATCTGACAGCCTCTCTCTTTGCAATTTTACAACTTTCAGCAAATTCCCCATATTCTCTCTATCTCAGTCTGAACAGCCATTTCACATCTTACACCTCACTGTTTTTTGTGTATCCCATCCATTATCCATGCTTTTGTTTGTATTATTTCTGCTTTCTGAAAAATCTCCTGAATTATTTTCCAGCAACCCACATGGTAATGCTTTCTCCAAGGCCCGTCATTCTCAAGTCTCTTCGGGTCTGTGTCTCATAACTAAACACTCACGAGAACCATCTCTGGTTTGTTTTGTGGGTTCTCTTGTCAGTAGCGTTAACATTTTTTTCACCATGCAAATTCTGTATAGTTAGTCATAGAGTAGGAAATGAAGCTGTTAAATGGTTACAATTTGCCAGTCACAGTGATGCAGGATGAAGGAGATGCAAAGATAAAGCCCTATCCCCAAAAACCTTTTAGCTCAAAATGGTGGAAGGCTGAGTCCTGAACCCTCACAGCACTACATATCATTGCTTCAGTCAAACAAGTCCTAGAGATGTGCAGAGCCAGGAAGGACCATTTTCGGTGTGGTTGTTCAAAAAGGGCATCCTGGGAGAGGATGAATTTCACTCATTCATTCAGGAAACATTTCCTGATGTCCTACTCCTGTTAGGCACAGTTAGGCTTTAGAGGCTGAGCTAGTTTTCCAGAACTGCTGTAACCAAGTGCCACAAACTAGGTAGCTAAAGTGATGGATGCCACACGTCCAAGATCAAGGTGTCTGCAGGCCATGCTGCCTCTGGAGGCTCTAGGGAGGGATCTGTTCCATGCCCATCTCCTAGCTGCTGGTGCCTCTGGTGTTCTGTGGCTTGTCCATGCATTATTCCAATCCTCCCTCCTCACAGGGCTGCTTCCCTATGTGCCCTTGCACTGTTCCCTGTGTGTACATCTGTCTCTGCATCCAAAGGTCCTTCCTGATAAGGACACCAGTCATATTAGATTAGGGTCAACCCTCCTGACTACATTTTAACTTGATTACCTTTTTAAAAACCTTACATCCAATTAAGGTCACATTCTGAGGTATTGGGAGTTATGATTCCAACATACGTTTTTGGAAACCACAAGTCAACCCAGAATAGACATGCAGGGATGAAAGGCTGAAAGCACAGCGGCCGTGAAAGGAAGCTCACACTGTGAGGGGGCACCAG